CAGTGGGCCTGTAAGAAGGGGGGTTCTACTCCACAGGCTATTTCACGGTGGCTCGCTGATGCCACCAACGCCGAAGCAGGAGCAGAGATGGATCCATCTCGCGCGCTCGATCCTGTCGGTCACCAGATTGCAAAAGAAGCTCTACTTCATCACTGCAAAGTACCGAAGGATTGCAACAAAAACCCAAGGATTGCAACAAAAAACCAAGGTTTGTGTTGCAATCCTTCGTTCGATCCGTGGTTTTTGTTGCAATCCTTCGCGCATGGGTCTTTACTGCCCGCGCTGCCTGGCGGGGCCCTCGGCGCCTCAGCGTGGCAGGCCAGCTCGCCCAACCGGCGTGGCCTGCTCGGGGCCTCCCCCGGGGCGATGCTCTCGCACCTGCCACGCGGTGTGCGGTGCTGGCCCCACGGCAACCAGTCAATGGCATCGCCTACATGGACGATAGATCGATCACGACTGTCTCGGCGGATCTTGCGCGCGACGACCTCAGGGTCACATCCGACTTCGATCAATCCGTGGGTTTCAAGGAAATCATGAAGAAAAGGCAAGTCTGACATGCTACGGGCGACCCTGTACCCCTAGTGGAGCATCTGGGGGTGATATGCCAACCGAAGGACGTGGAGCACCCCATCGCCACAAGTGGAGCACCCCATCGCCGATGTCTGCAGCTGATAATACCTTGGGATCGATTCCTGGATCCTCGCTCGTACGAGAAAGGCTGGTTATACCTTACATCAGGCCTCTTTGGCCGTGGGTTTCGCCGACTCTCGCCCCTGTACCAAGCAATGTCCCACGGCTCCTGCACAAGGCGATCGCGAGGACAAAGACGAAGTGGTGGTGCCACGGCAGACGGTGGTGCCAACGTATACGGTTACATCCGACGCTCGGGGCGGCCCTCCGAGCCATCATCAAGGTCACGGAATCAAAGCTGCTGCGGGGTGAGTTTCTGGACCTCTCTCTCTGCAAAGATGTGCCACGGTGCTTGGTGTCACTTTCATTCAGTGCTGTGAAACTCGTGGGTGCACGTTGGAGATTTCGCAAGCAGATGATCATCGAGTACCACGAGCTGTGCAGTCACTGTGCCCCGAGGGGGGCTTTCGATTTTGGACTCGTTCTGCGCAGGACGAGAGGCATGCCAAGAGAGTGGACAACGCGTTCAGGCTTATTGCTCGCATACGTTGTCTTCAGACTGTTACTCGTACCAGGCAAGACTCTGAATCCGTAGAACAGGTGGATGCGGAAGTCTTGTCGTGTAAGACGCTTTCTAAGTGGAGATTCTCCCTTCCCGAGGGCGACAGAGTGCGGCTTGGGACTTACCTCTCAGGAGCTGTGTCGTCCGAGACGCGAAGGCAGACGGGCCGACCGTGCCCCCACTGCGGACACCTATGGCCCTCCTTCAGGCACCTGTGGGCCGAGTGCCCATTCTATGCAAGTGAGAGGCGAGCTATCACCTACCAGTTCGCCCTCAACGACCTTTTCTAGACGAGTGTCCCCAAAGTTACGGCCAAGAGCGGATGGATCTGTTTCGCTCAGGCCCCGACTCTTAAAGCACGTGCTACAATGATGAGGGCATCTTTTGAGATGGCCTTGAAGATCATGCCAGCTCAGTCCTCTCGAGCGCCTTCATCCTCTAGATTAGGGCGACCTTCGTTCCACTCACCCTCTTCTTCTTTTTCTTCTTGCCACCAACGTCATCACCGCCATATACATTATTCGTCTTGGGCTTGTAGAGCATGACCGAACGACTGCACTTCGCACATACGCACGAGCGTGCTGTTCCACTCGTAGGTCGAACATCACGAACTGACCCTGCCATCGTTCGGACGTCCACTCCCCGTGCATTGTTGGACTTCGTGCCTTTATTTTTCGCAGGATGAGTCAGGATTCTCCCCGATAGTCCCCGCCGAGGAAAAACGCACACGTCCAAGCGATGCCAAGTCATGGAATGACTCCATGCAAGCGGCATCTCGCCCTGCTTTGGCCACACGGATCGTCTGACAGCGCGGCCGACAGACTGTGCTTTCACGAGGCACTTCGTGACGGCGCAAGGCCTGGCCGAGCGAGCGTTCCGCAGAATGCAAGGACTGGCCATCGCTCAGACGTCCATTCCCCGTGCACTTGTCGACTTCATGCGCGTATTTTCTCGCCGATGGCCCAAAGAGCTCCTCGATGGTCCTCGCCCAGAATGAAATCCACACGTCCGAGCGATGCCAAGAAGAGTGTGGAGGTGGAAAGGAGCCCCCAAGACCCCCCAGCACACGCTCGAGCCTGAACTGACTGAGAGGAGGAAGAGGAGTAGGTGGAGGGGGACGAGGAGGGGGAGAACTGGCCAAGCGAGCGCTTGGCAAAATGCGAAGGAGCGTGGAGGTGGGCAGGACCCCCCAAGACCCCCGAGCACCGTTCGAGCCAGAATTGATTGAGAGGGGGAAGAGGAGGAAGAGGAGGGGGAGGGGGATGAGGCGGACGAGGAGAAGGGTGGAGGAGAGGGGGGAGGGCTCCGTGGACGCTGCTGCGCTGGGCGCGAAAGATGAAGCTGATTGGGAATCGAGCGCACCTGAGCTCGTAACGAACGCAGGGTGCGGCACCCTGGAGAAGACGAGTCCATTGTTCTGGGGGGGCAAGCGGTGCCCCGCCTCACAGAGAGGTCGCTGCGGCTGGATTCGATTCGAGATCGTGGTCCGAACGTAGCCGAAGAGAGACCGGAGGGCCGATCTTGGGGGGGGGGGGGGGCGAGCAGGAGCAGGACGGCTGTGCCCCTCTTGCCACTCACTGGTGACCTCCTCGAGATTCATGGCGCTCCCCGTGGACCCCACGGTGCTGTTGTGAGTGCCCGGGCGGGGAGGGGCCCTGGAGGGGGTCAAGAATCCCTACGGCCAAAGGGTGGGGGGAATGCGGATACGGGAGGATGTCCCGCCCCCTGGGCCTGGGCCCACACTGCCCTGGCATGCTGTATACAGTCGCATGCGCGGCCGAGCTCTCCACTCTCAGGCAATCAGGTTACCTCGAACACCGTCCTGCGCATGGTCCTGTCATCACGTGCTGTTCATGATCATGGCATGCACGAGCTCCACAATTCGTCACTACGGTCATACTGACGCTTTTACGTGTACGTCACGCTGTATGTGTTGCCGCGCTTCTTCACCATCGACTCAAAAGGCTGCAACGTGCTGCTCTGTTCTTCGTCACGTTACGACACTCTTCTTATTGAACTGCCGCCGTAGGCGGGCCGCCTGACATGCCTGCAATCAACCAGGGCTTGCACGTCAGGCACAACAACTAGCGGTATCGACATCCTCGATTGGACCACGCAGTTCTGTCACACCCCGTCTCTTCCAGATGAGCGTCGGTCTGATATCACTGCAAGTCATTCGAAAATTGCAACGGAACCATCACTACCACTGAATATGTACCTCGCGCAGTCCTGCGAGTAAAACATGGAACTGGACGTTGGAGAAACCAGGCGGGTGCCCGCAGAGCTAGTGTAGAAAAAAATGTTTGAAACCAGCACCGTGGCTATAGAGTCCCACTGAAGGTAAACTAGCACAACAACAAAAGTCCAACAGGGGGAATGGGGAGTCCGAGAACGTCTGGTCCGACAGCTGGTGCGGCAGCCGTTTCGCTTGAGAATTCCTCACAACATGTTCAAGAATCGTGCATTCGCCTCAATGCCAGCTACATGTTTGGTCCGGACGGCCGCGATTCTTTCTCAAGCAGAAACCCTACGGCGCACATGGAAGTGCTCTCAACGGTGTCACACGGCCACCATTCCTCTTACCAGAACAACTACGGTGCGCATGGCCATGCTCTCACCCCTGTCACACTGCCGCCACCCCTTCGTTAAAATTAACTACGGTGTCCATGGCCGTGTTCTCACCCCTGTCGCACGGCCACGATCCCCTGTACAGAAAAACTCTTTGGTGCACTTGGCCGTGATCTCACCCATGTCACACGGCCACGATGCCCTGTAAAGGAAAGTTCGTTGGTGCACTTGGCCGTGGTCTCACCCCTGCCACGACGACATGGTATACGGCTGTGCCCTCACCCTTGCTACGCTTAGGAATCCCTAAGAATACCCAGGGAATGCACGTTTGCACTATCCAAACTCGTGCTGCTCGACCCGCCGCCGCACCGCTGCTGCTCCTACGCCGCTCTGCTGCGCTATAATCTCTCAACATCGACACCAGCCAACGATACCCGACGAAAGACCAGCGCGCACTGACCAAGGAGGTGCAGATTCGGGAGCGGCCAGGAGGGGGGTGTCCAAGAGGGGGGGGTGCAAATCATGGCCGGCGGCGTGCGCGCGGCCCTTAGGGGGGGGCCAGGGACGCAATGAAATAAGAAGAGGCGCCATGAAATCTGGGGAAATATCATGGCCCACGCCATGATACCCATCTTTTCCCCCTAGTCATCACCCCCCTCTTTGCCGCCCCCGACAGATGACTCGCTGACCCTCGGGATGGAAGGAGCGGGGGGAGAAACCCCGGAGCACCATGACGTGACGTGCACCAGGGGGACGCCACCCCGCCGAGAGGGCCCCGGACCGACCCTCCACACGGCCAGCCGACCCGCGCCGACGAGTTCCGCCCCCTCCCCGCCGCAGTGCGCCGACGCGGCGGGGTCGACACCCGTCGGGGGGACACATTTTTTTTGGCCTGCGCGAGAGGGTCGCCCCGTGGCTTGGGAAGAAAGAGGAGAGCAGCGGGGGAAGGGAGGAGAAGAAGAGGAGAAGGCAGCAGCACAAGCAGCAGTGCACAGCCGGGCTGCGGCTTCGCGCAACCCGGCGCCGCGCGCCGCGCGGCTAGTCAGCGGGGGGCCCCACACCCGCACCCCCCCACTCAGAGGAGGGAGGCGGAGCTCAGAAGGGGAGAGAAAGGGGGGGGGGGGGGGGGAGAAGCTGAGGACGGGAGTCCAGAGGGCGGGGGCGGGCGAAGCACCGCACGAGTAGGGGACGCCCCGCTCGGCTCTCGGGGGGGGGGAGGGCGGGGGGGAGGGGGGGGCTCCTCGCGAGCGAGGCATCTACGCCGCGGCGCCGCCACGCCGCGCGGTGCGGCCTGCCTTTCTGATACGGACCGAGCACATCCGAGCCGCAGGAACGGCTCTGCGGCGCACGGGGTCGCGGTGGCGGGGGGGGAGGGGCGGGGGGGGGGGGACGAGGAGGAATGGGGAGAGGGGTCAGCGGGCTGGGCAGGAGGGACGGGGCGGGGAGACCGAGGAGGGAGGAGGGAAGAAGGCACGAGCGAGAATGACGGAGGGAGGGAGGCGAAACGAGGAGAAGAGAGGGAGGAGGGAGGACGACGGAGGGAGAGGGAGGATCGACCCGGGAGGGGGGAGACAAAAAGGGGGACGGGCAGAGACAAAGACGGGGAAAAGCGAGGAGCCAGGAGTGCAAAGGGTCGAAGGAACAGTGATGGCATGGGACGAAAGAGGAAGAGGGATATTTCTTGAAGGTCGTTGGGGGGGCACCGTTGCTTCCAGGACCAGATCCCCGTACGCTCGGCGGGCGCGCTTGATCGGTCAACAGCAATCCTTCCAGCCGCCCTTCGCGAGAAGCTCTGATTTCAGGCTTGCTCTTGCCGACGATTGGGCTGCTCATGCTTGCTCTTGCCCTACAAAAGCATTGCCCTCTCCCCCGTCGCCCCAGAAACACAGATCGCGCTCGCTGCCCCTCAGCGAGCTTCAAGATATTTCCCCCCAGGGAGGCCATGGACGAACAGCCTCTGGTCTGCCACCTTCGCCGCGCTATGCGGTGCCTCCACGGCGCCCGAGGCGGAGCGCAGAGGCCGAGCGGAGTCCTGCCACCTGCGCGAGGCCGCACCGCGGCGGGCAGGCCCGCCGAGCGCGCCACGAACGGCGACGGCGCGGAGCGCACAAAGGGAGCCGCTCCGGAGGGCGAGCCCCTCGATAATCGAGGAGGGGGAGGAGGAGGAGCAGGAGGAGGAGGAGGAGAAGGAGGAGTTCCGGCGCTATCAGGCGCTTTGCGGACTTATATGCTAGAGAAGGAAAGACCACACAAACAGAAAGCTTTTGGCGCTCCGAGCGGACTTCTCAGGCGCGGATCCAGGAAATCCGCGCGGAGCGCCAAGAGTTTTGTGTTCATGTGGTCTTTCCTTCTCTAATCGAGGGAGCCACTCTGGAGGGCGAGTCCTCGATTGGAGGAAGGAGATGACCACCTACCAGCCCACCCCAGCCCAACCCGAAGACCCGAAGTTGACCCGAATTTCGGGTTGGGGGGGGTACGGGCTCCGTGTGTGTGTGTGTGTGTGTTTTTTTTTCAATGTTCCGCGACTCCCCCCCCCACTGGAAATAGAGGGAAAATTGAGGCCTTCGGGTTGGGTTGGCGTCGTTTGGTGGGTGGTGAGGAAAGACCACACAAACATAAAGCTTTTGGCGCTCCGAGCGGACTTCTTGGATCCGCCCCTGGGCCCCCCTGCGCTCCGCGCGACAGGGGGGGGGGGGCCGGAGGCGCCGCCGGGGGGCCCAGGCGCGGATCCAAGAAATCTGCGCGGAGCGCCGAAAGTTTTGTGTTTATGTGGTCTTTCCTTCTCTAATCGATGGAGGTCGCGAACTGTGAGCGACATCCCCGAACCCAAAAGGTGTTCAATGAGATTCGTCGGGCAGCACGGCGGGCTGGTGGCTCGGTCCAGCCGCGCGGGCCGATGGCGCAAGATGAAAGGTCAGAGGGCGAGCCCATCCCATGGCCCGCGCGGCCAGTCGGTGGGTCAGCAGGCTGGGCAGCACTGCCTGTGGATAGAAGCAACTGCCATCTGGTGAGACGCGTGTATACTCTCAAGGCCTTTCCTGAAGGCTGGCTGCAGTCGCTCACACGTCTGACCTTCCCTAGCACGAGCAGCTTTGAGAGTCTGGGCAAAAGTGAAATAGGCGGAGTATCGGTAAGGAATGGGGCCGTCCAAAAGCTCCCGCGCTCCTTACGCTCCAGCCTGGCCCGCTCGCTCTTGTGCCTGTGTCGATGGCAAAAAGAGGGAAAGAGGGAGCGACAGAGAGGAGGGAGGAGGAAGGCGGCTCGATGCGAATGAAGCCCTTTCAGGCGGCAGGAGCACCCTTCCCCAGCCTGGCTTGCAGCGGCAAGGCCACAGAGCCCCACACACAATACTGGCTGGGGCGCCCCACGCTCCAAACATCGAGGCTTCGGCCTCGTCACGGCCGGCCCTCCGACACGGAGCACCCTGCGGCGACCGATGGCAGAGGCGACGCGCGGCTCGCCCTGCCGCGCGTCTGGGGCGAAGCTGATGGGGCGCCCAGCAGCGCAGTCGCAGGTGTCCACGGGAGAGCCACCGCGGGGCTGCGAGGGGCCCCACGGCTGCGGCGCGGGCACTCCACGAAAAGGCCGCCCCGCCCCGCCCCCGTCGGGGCCCGGGCAGAGGCAGCGACGACACCGGGCGGCCCAGGGGGGTGAGCATTGACGCGGGCGAAACGGGCCACGCGCAATGTCGAGGGCGTCCAAGAGGAGGGCCCCCAAGATAAGGGTTCGCAAGTCATGGCCCGAGGCATGTACGCGACCCCCGGGAAGAAGAAGAAGAAGAAGAAAAAAAAAAAAAAAAAAAAAAAAAAAAAAAAAAAAAAAAGGAGAAAAAGAAGAAGAGGGGGTCATGAAATCCAGGAGGGTATCATTGCACTGGCGATGATGTCCCCCCTCTTGGCCGCCCCCGACCAATGCGAGGGCGCAGGCGGATCGCTCACCGCCGGGCGGACGGCTCGCGCGAGCAGGCTCCGACGGCGCAGGAAGTTCGGAACTGGCCCTTCTGCCAGCGACGGACATGCGACCTGGCGGAGTGCGATTCGCGACTCGGCGTGGTGGCCGCGATGGTACGCGCGCGAGGGCCGGTGCCAGACGACAGCGACGCGGAAGTGGTGCCGAGAGAGTTCGCAGCAGATCTTCCGCGAGTGCCGGACGTCCGGCCCAGGGGGGGGTCGAGCTGGCACTACAGACGCACATGGCCGTACATCGATCCTAGAAGCAGGTAGCTGGTCACAAGGCCAAGACGAGCCGAGCCGGGCGGAAGGCCCTCGGAACCACGGCGCCCGTGTCAGACGCCGCCTCGCAGTCGGAGCAAGAAGCCCGGGCGCAAACGGAAAGCCTTCGGGAGACGAGGCCATCCCCGACCGCGACGAAGGCGCCCCGGAAGAAGACCGGGTCGCGTTCGACAGGCAGCCCGCAGAATTGAGGCCCGCGAGGAGCGAGGCCGCTGTCGAGCACGGCGGCGGAGGGGCGGCCCCGGACCCGAGAGCTCCGCCGCGGGGAGCGGCGGCCGGGGAGCGCCGCGCACGCCCGTCGAGACCAGAAGCGAGGGCCCAGCTTCGGGGACCTGCATACTGACCCGGGTCAGTGCAAACCCTTGCCATCGTTCGGACGTCCAGTCCCCGCGAATTGTTCGGCTTCGTGCGTTGGTGATTCGCAAGATGTTCCAGGACGCTCTTCGGTGGTGCTCGCGGAGGGACAAAAAACACAGGTCCGAGCGATGCCAAGAACCTGGGTCAGTTGGGTTCTGCAAGATCCTGCAAAATCATGCAGGACCCTGCGGGATCATGCGCGCTGACCCGGGTCATTGCAGCCCTGGCTCTGGAAGATCCTACAAGATCCGGCACTGTGGCTGACCCTCGTTCGCATTGACCCCCGTCCCTTGAGCCCCGACCGCCAGTCGCCGAGGCATTCCCGCCGATCCTCGGCGAAGTGGAAGCCAGCGCGAGTGCTTGGGACGATGCCAAGCGTGAAAACGCTCGTCCAATCGCGCCCGCTGATTCGCCCGCCAGATACGAGAGGGGTCGCTGTCGAAAGGCCCGATGGGCCAGATGGGGAACGAACTCCGAGGTGGGAAAAAGTCCCGTTCCCTGTCCCAGGACGCGCATGGACAATGGCACCAGTGGCACAGGTGGCCAGCATGATGGAAGCGAGCAAAGCGGTCCGCCAAAGGGCCTTGCACTCCTATTTCGGCCAGAACGCCGCGCCAGAGATGCTGCAGGAGCTCGAGAGGGCGAGAATTATCTTCGACACGATACTCACCGCATGGTCTACGGCTACCATCGAAGGGCTGCTCGGCGCGGAGCGGAAACCAGTCCAGGCGACAGCGGCAGAACTGTTTTCTGACGCAGGCGGAAGATGGAGATCCGGGGACTACCGGGGAGGAGGTGCCCGGATCGTAGGAGCTTGACAGCAGGGGACCCCGTCGAGCTGGATGATTGCGAATGCGTCTTGGACTGTGGCGGTTTGAATACGGCGAGCACTCAGCGCTTACTGGTCAAGGGCGTTCCCTGAAGAAGCAAAAAGGTTGCGGCGCGCAGGAAGAGAAGCGGGACCGAAGGATGAGCGGGGAGAAGCGCAGAAGGCAATGGCGGCATACGCATGCATCTGCACACCTGCAAGGAGTCTACGCATTCGAAGGAAGAGGAGGAGGAGGAGGAGGAGGAGGCGGAGGAGGAGGAGGAGGAGGAGGAGGGGGAGGAGGAGGAGGAGGAGGAGGAGGAGGAGGGCAGGTGGGGAGGGGGAGGGGGTGTCGTCGTCGCTGTCGTCTGACATCGGAATAACAGGATGAGGGCGGTACGATTCTGGAAACCCTCAACGCTCCTCGAGCCCCCGAGCTCGGAGGTCATAGTGAGACCTAACCCCACAGGGCTACGCACGGATACATAACCTGGGGCAACCATGGGACGTCAGACACAAAGAGGAAAGGGGGAGGATTGGACACAGAGGACAGCGGGACTACTTTTCGTGGGTCTGACGTTGGGGCAACGACTCTAGGGTCCCCGTAGTCACCCATGGACACCTTCCAGGTGCCCCCTTCCAATGCCCTCGGAATCTGAGGCAGCTCTAATCAAGGCGGCCTTCGAGGCCGCTCTTGAACGGGACTTAAGACGGACGTTCAGGGCGCGCTCTGACAGATGACCAGTCTCATCAATAAGACACATTGAACCCCTTCTGAGTAAGTCTAACAGCGCTAGATTGCCCCTCCCCGGGTCGGCCTTCGTGAGGGAGTCGGCCGCCATACGGCTATGCGGCACCCACCGCACCTGTGACCCAGTGGCGGACAGAGCATCCCTGATCACCGCCAAGTCAATAACGGTCCTCCTGTCGGCCCCGGACCCTGAACTGTTTCGACTCAAAGTGTCGGAAATGGACTTTGCATCTACAACTGACAGGGAAGCAACACACTCCGCAAGTTCACAGTCCTTGCTAAAGACAACAGAGAAGGGAGCCTGGCCTAAATGCCACTCGGGTTTCACAACATCATCAAAAATTAGGTCGCGCCGGAGGACCTGCAACCACTGAGCTTCGGCTACTGCCGCCGACAAGCTCAGCGCCTCCGCTGCGCCAGTGCTGGGACCACTCGCTTCAGTCTAGAGGAGCGCCAAGATAAAAGCGAAACGCAAGCCCTGCGGTTCTGCGCGATGTCGGCATCCGCTGCACACACCAGCCAAGCACCCTGAGCACCCCCTCGCTTCGCGGACCCAGGGACACCCGCGTCGGAAGACGCGACGAAAGTGACTGAACTAACATCCAGAGGCCAGATGGCAATGCGCTGGCTCGCCGAGGACTCCAGGTGCTGGACCACCTGAATTCCCAGCGGCGCATCCTCCACTGTAGGAGAGGGCAGCGCCGCGCTGAGCAGAGAAGCAGAGCCGGCGACGTCGGGTCTCATCTCGCGGCCTAGCCACTGCACCTGAGCGATCATGGTCCGATACCCGGCGGCCTCAGACGACGTCAGAAGCGACGACGGGTGAGCCTGTCGAGACTTATCCAGCTGCACGGCGGCGAGTTGCTCCACGATGTACCTCTCTTGGTCAACGATGATATTTCCCCCGGGCTGTTGCTGAATCCGGCGCCCAGCGTACTCTGCAGATCCTAACTTCCATTTCCCGAACTGAAACCGAGCCTGCAAACGATCCCGAATTCCTCGTCGCTCGTCAGGGTGTGAGGCCACAATGAGATC